TTTTTTTTTTTTGTTGCAATCAGATATTGGCATACATATAATTATTTCTGATTATATGAAGTTTGTGCAATGGAGGATAAGAAGAGGGGCAGAAAGAGGACTGAAAATGAGCTCAGGGGTTTTAGGGAGTTTATTTCTTCCATGGAAATGCAAGAAGTTCATATGTGTGGTCATCCTTTTACATGGGGAAACAACAGAGTTGGGGAATGATTCATTGAAGAAAAGATAGACATAATATTTGGTTCATTCTTATGGCTAGTTGACCACCCAAATGCTATTGTTGATTCGGTCTATCGGAGTGCTTCTGATCACAGGATGTTAATTCTCTCTACTCAATCTAGTTCTGGGAATTCAAAACCAAAGAGGAGATTTTTCTTTGATAAGAGATGGTTGAAGATGGAAGGGGTGAAAGAGACAGTAACCTCAGCATGGAACGGCAGCACAAATGGGACACCAATGTTCCAAGTCTCTGAAAAAATCAAAGCCACAAGAGTGGCTCTACTCAGGTGGAGCAGCTTCTCTCACAAAAACCGAATTAAAGCTAAATCTGAAATAGCTGAAAGGTTGGAAATCATGAGCAAACAGAGAACTGATAGAAATTGGGATGAATGGAATGCTCTGAAGAAAGAGATGGATAAACTGGTGAAGATGGAAGAGGAACACTGGAAACAAAAGTCAAGAAATACATGGCTCAAATAAGGAGACTCAAACTCTAAATACTTTCATACTCTGGTCATGCAAAGGAGGTTTGGATATTGAGCAGTGTGTATGCAAATTCTATGAGGATCTTTTCTCTTCTGAGGGCTCCATGGCTAGTGAGGAGTTGACTCAACTTATTCCAACCACCATTTCAGCAGACATGAACAGTGCACTAGTTGCTCCTTTCACTGAGGAGGATGTCAGAGAAGTTTTGTTTAGTTTGGGCTCTGATAAAGCTCTGGGACAAGATGAGATGTCTCCCTTGTTCTTTCAAACCTTCTGGGAAGTTGTTAAATTGGATGTGTGCAAGGCGGTGAGCAGCTTCTTTGAGCAGGGATTCTTCTTAAGAATTGGAACCACACTCTTATCACCCTAATCCCAAAATGTACCAATCCAACCTCCTTAACACAATTTCGGCCGATTAGCCTATGCAGTGTCCCGTACAAAATTATTTCTAAGTTGCTGACTGCTAGGTTGAAGCATTGTTTAGACTCCTGCATCAGTGTTAATCAAGCAGCATTTATTCCAGGGAGGCAACTAATGGACAATGTGGTGATTGCACAAGAGGCTATACATTACTTGAATAGGCATAACTATGGGGCTAAAGGCTTAATGGCAGTGAAACTTGATATGGAGAAAGCCTATGACAGAGTAGATTGGAAAAGTATATAAGATGTAATGGCTAAAATGGGATTTAGTGGCCTCTTTATCAAATGGATCCTTGCTTGTGTATCCTCTGCAGTATACTCTTTTAACATTAATGGTAGTATGAAGGGCTTTGTCACTGCTTCTAGAGGTATCAGACAGGGTGACCCTCTTTCACCCTATTTATTTATAATTGTCTCTGAGGTGTTCTCAAGATTACTGGAATTTGAATCAGCTGTTGGGAATTTTGCCGGTTTGAAGATAGCAAGATCAGGACCTCCAATCTCTCACTTGCTTTTTGCTGATGATGCACGGGTGTGTTGCACTGCTGACTGCCATCATGCTACTCTTCTACTATCTGTGCTGAATAAATATAAACAGGTTACTGGTCAAAAGGTAAATCTCACCAAGTCCTCAATATTCTTCAGTAGAAATGCATCAGTGCTGCTAAAGGACAATGTCTGTCAGATTCTTCATGGGATTCAGATTCAAAATTCAACTAGATACCTAGGCTTGCCCTTGGGAATTGGAAGATCAAAGAAAGAAGTGTTTGATTTTGTGGTAAATGCTGTGGAATCTAGACTGATAAATTGGAAGAACAACTTTCTCTCAACTGCTGGCAAAGAAGTTCTTTTGAAAGCAGTGATTGAGGCTATGCCCACCTTCTCCATGTCATGTTTTGTGTTGCCAAAGGGAGTTTGCAGGAAAATTGAGAGCTTGTTTGCAAACTTCTGGTGGAGTAAAAGGAAGGAGCAGACCAAGGGCTTACATTGGAAGGCATGGAACCTTGTTACCATACCAAAAGCAGCTGGTGGACTGGGTTTTAAAGATCTATCTGTGTTCAATGATTCACTTATTTTGAAACAGATATGGAGAATCCTCTCTAAACCTAACCTGCTAGTGAGTCAAATCCTAAAAGCAAGGTACTTTGCCAACTCTCATATTTTGAAGGTCAAAAAGTCTACAACAGCATCCTGGCTTTTGTCCAACTGGCTGACAGTGAAAGACAGATACAAACAGTGTTTCCATATTGAAGTTAGAGATGGTAGTAAGAGTAAGATTTGGGATGATCCATGGATACCCTCCATAGAAGCTGGGTTCCTGTCACATCAAGCAGGCCAAGATAGACAGTTAGTTTGGGTTAAACAGCTGTTGGAACCAGGGGGGAGAAGATGGAATTATGAGCTGCTTGGGAAGCTGTTTTCTCCACAAGAAAGAAATGCTATTCTGGCGATTAAAACTTTGGACCCTTTATAGCATGACAAATGGATTTGGACCCCGGTTTCAAAAGGAATGTTCACTGTGTCAGGTACATATTCTCACTATATTAACCAGAAGGTTATCAAGTTGGACATTCCTGAGAGTAGTCATTCTAATGTGCTGAATAAAAAAGTTAGATCAAGATGCTGGTCTTTGAAAGTCAAGAACAAACTTAAACATTTTTTATGGAAATGTTATAGTAAAGTTCTGCCAGTTAGTATGAATCTCAAGGCTAGGGGAATGGAAATTGATACTGTTTGCAGCAGCTGTGGAGAGGGGTTGGAAACCACAGAACACATTTTCTTTGATTGCAAAAAAGCTCAGAGGGTTTGGCAGTTTGCTCCAATTAACTGGATGGTCTTGCAGAGGATACGAGTTGCTTTAGAAGGTGGTGGTGGGTTATCTGTTCTCTGGACAAGTCTGAGGTTTCTGAAGATAGAATACAGCTAACCACATACATATTGTGGTGGCTGTGGAAATCTCGAAATCTTTGGAAATTTCAGAGTTGTTGGATGCCTGAAAAGGAGATAGCAAAAATAGTTGTGAAGGAGTGGAAAGAATTTTCTGCTTGTCTGTTAGGGTAGCTTTATTTTGTCCAAGATGGTTATGACTAGGTCCTTTGTAGGTTCAGTGGTGATAAATCTCTTGGCCTTTTGTCTGGTTTGTTTCTTGTTCTTCTGCCTGCAGGGGTGTTTGGTGGGTTTTTGGCCAGGTGAAGGGTTCAACACCTTTAAAAGCTGCCTTTGGTCTGTGGTTTGGTCTTTTGGGGTTTGTTATGTTGTCTAGGTTGTCTATTCCCTGTTTGTGGTTTTAGTTGTGTGGGCTGCTAGTTTTTGTTAATGTTTGTTGATCTAGGGGTTTGATTATTTAGGGCATATGATTATGACCCTCTGGGAATTGGTTGTATTTGGGATCAGTTGATCCCGCGATTTGTATAGTTTTATTTGAGTAATAAAATCCTTCTATCGTTTTGAAAAAAAAAAAAATTCTGATTAATATAGTGTTGTTGCAAATAAAATCTTCCATCCGTATAATTGCTACAAAGAGTATAGTATGTGTGTTTATGCTAGCAATGGCCCAAAGGGCTGTTTTATGCTTGAGGCCGATTACTTTGGGTTCAGCCACTTTTTGATAGCCCAACTTAGCCTATCCCATAAACAACGATTTAAGACTAATTTGGGCCTAGTGCAAGCCGAATAAAAAATTAGCTCATCCTAGTGGCGCAGGCTTTCTTAGTGCCACCACAAGCAAAACATTTACAAGTATTTATTTAAAATAACAATAATGATGGGCATGATGCTATTAGGCTGTATTGATAATAATTAGGTAATCATACATTTTTAGCAAATTATTTTATTTTTATATTTAAATATCAAACTTTAAAAAGTAAAATAAATAAAAAATATAATATTTTACAATATAAGTAGACGTGCTAATAGTGTCAGTATATACTATATAACCATTAGGACATAACTATTTACTAAATATTTTTCAACTGAATAGATAATTTTTATACCGACAGTTCTCTTTCATAGCTAATTACAATATTTCAATGTTACTGGCGATTAATATTAAAAAGTTGTACCAACTGGATAAGCTAGCCTAATTAGTTATTGTACTTTTCCTTCAATGTCCATCTATCATTATATTTTATTTTAAGATAACTTGTATAATAACTAAACCGTCAATTCATTTGACAAAACTGTCCTTAATATTTTGTAGTGTAGGGTCTACAATTTTTTCAATAAACAAACATTCGAAATCAACCAGTGTCACCTCATACAAAATTAATATAATCCTTGTGATTTGGATATTTTTTATAATAAAAAAAAATGATTTCCTAGTCACAATTCAATTATCACAAATTCTTGTATAAGACAATATAACCGTAAGGCGTTTAAGAAGAATGGATAGATATATTATGAAATGTTGTACCCACATTTTTTTTTTTATTTTATTTTTTAAACTATGACATTTAAGTTTGAGAGTATACACATTTATAAAATAAAATATGCATGTGTAATGGTCTGTACAATTAACTTATATATAATATTTATCAATGCCTTTTTTTTTAATCCTTTTTGCCTTCTTTCACACCAAGTGTCCCTAATCTGGTTTGTTAAAAGAAGAAGCCAAATTTTTATTTATTGGGTCCCATTTTAGTTTTTAATTTTCTCAAGTTGAGAATCAAGACATGCAGGTTAAGTAGAATGTCATATTAGAGACGATCTTGTCAAAAACATTAGTATATTATAATTTTATCAAAATTTTCCCTTACAAGACTTGCGTGTGCAGAAAGTTGGGACTCTCTAATGTGTCTTATCTGGTATATTCTCGTAATTAATGACTAAAACTTGATTAGGATAATAAAGTAATATAATAATTTTCAAAATATTTGCACAAAACACTCTAACGGTTAGTCGAGTCGATTTGTTATAATTATTTTTAACAAAAGTGATACATATACTAAGAAATGCTCATACTTTTATTTACGATGTTTTAATAAAATATGTCATTTATGTATGAACTTACCCTTATTTATTTAAAAAACTACAACCGCTTATAGATGAAATCCAAACATAATTTTGATACTATTCCACTTAATATTGACACAACAATCTTCATGTATCAAAATAGAATTATACTTGATTGGATTCTTTTGACGCAATCAAAATAAAAATAGGATTTCAAACGTAACCTCGTTTTAAATATTACTGAACACAATTTTATATATAATATCCATGCTCATACATTTACCCACATTCTAGTACAATTCTAAAGCTGGTTTTGTCGTAATTGTTTTAATTGCTAACACAATTTTATATATAAATAGGAATAAAGTATTAATTGCTGAATTTGAAAAATGATATTTTTTCAAAAAAATAAAAAATAAAAAATAGTTGTTTGACCAAACAAAGAACAAGTTATTGCTAACATCCAAAATCCCGTGCTTTATACCCAAATTCTTATGTATAAAATTATGTTTTAAACATTATATTACCTTCTCAAGCCTCGTTTTGTGCAGTGTATCTAATGATTCTAAGAGCATCTCCAATGATTTAAGTGAATTGTCGTCTATAATAGATGGCTTCTCTCTACGTGGATGGAATAGAATGACAGGTTCATGAATAACTCTCCAATGGTCTACACACAGTAAATGTCTATAAATATATTTTTTTTTTATTTTGTTGTTCTAAAAAAAAAATTGCAGGTGAAATTTCAGCGACATATATTACACAAAAATTTTATTCACATTTAAGGGTGACAAAATATACATTATTATTCTATTGAGCTTCATATTGTATTGTATAATGCCGGTATTTATTATGTATTTTACTGCATAATTTTAACAAAATATATACCATTAAATTTATAATGGATATTTTTATATCGGTTAAAATCTCCTTTTATTATGTATTTTAATACATAATTCTAACAAAATATATACCATTAAACTTATAATATGATTTTAGAAGTCTTTCAATTTTTTTATTTTATTTTTATTTATGTAAATTAATTTGTCTTTGATAAAGTGTGTACAAATAAATACCAACAAATTATAATTTAACCAACGACTTAGATTATAAATGAAATTTTTTCTTCAAGTTTAGTCTTTTAGTAAATACTATATACATGTTTTAGTAAATTTTATTGTTTATGAATTGTATAAGGATAATTTAAAATAAAAAAAATAAACAAAGGAAAAAAAATGATCCATCACATCTAGAAGTACTTTCACAGACTTCTAGAATGATTATATTTCTTTCATGCCACATCAGCATAAATAGAAGTAGAAAAAATATTGCTGGAGAAGTTGTTTTATCGTACAGCTTCTACAATCCTACAATTGACATGCTGGAGATGCTATAACACACCCTCTGCCCAGCATCTGCTAATTAACTAAATACAAAAATGTTGTAATTTTAATTGTATCATCTTCAATTTAATGAAATATATTTACCTAACAATTTATTTTTTTTTTTAAATTTTTGGTAACAACAAATTTAATGTTTTTCTAATGGTATTAGAGCATCTCCAATGGCATGTGGATTGCCTCATTTTGTTGCCACATGACACAAGAAAACCTACGTGGCCTAAAAAATTTCTAGAAGTCTTTCTAGATGTAGAAGTACTTCTAGACAACTTCTACTACATATTATATTATTATTCAATTTATTTCTTTTTTTCAACCAATTAGAAATTTACACATGTCAAATTAAACAATCTTTAACATTAACCATTGGAGACACAATTTCTTAATCTCCTTCCTTCATGCCATGCAACTCAAAATGGACAAGATACCATTGAAGATGCTCTTAACCTTCAGGGACACGGGTCAATTAAGGGCCAAGGACACGAGAAATCTGGTAAGCAATGTCCTATTTCACAAATAATCTAAAGATTGTATAATAAATACAAATAGAAGAAACTAAATTAAGGAAAAAGGAAGCTGAAAATTGGTTGATAATTTCAACTCTAAATTTTAATTCCTTAAGAAAACTCAATTTATAATAAGCATAAATTGAGAGTCCTATTTTTCCAAATTAATCATATTCTAATTTACAGTTTATTTCATTGGATGAAACGTTACAACTAAACCAAAATCAATCATCCAATAAAATAAAACATGAAATAAATTGAAGCATGAATTTAAAAAGAAAAATCCTTCCTTTTTTCTATACAATTTTTGGTGATTCGAAAAAACATGTAATGAGTTGAAATTTTTCAACCAAAACATTTCTTATTTTATATAAAACACTATGAGTAAAGGTGTTACTCGAGTTGATTAGAGTCGAGTAGCTTTCTGTTCGAACTCTGACAGAAATTTGGGGAAAGCGGGTGCGATCCCACTAACATGAAACGCACCATGAACCAGGAAAAACTCATATGAAGCTCAAGTGGGGTTCCATTCCAAAACCAATTGGTGAAAGGAGGTGTAGCCCATTACAACATTCACAATGCTTTGGGTTCAATCACAAAAAATTGTATGCTGCGTAAGAAATAGACCTAGTTTAAAAAAATGTATTCTCCAATGCAAACAAAACTAGACTGGGTCCTGCTGTTGTGACAGCAAAACAAGAGACCCGGTCTACCCTTAAGTCTATTTTAGACTTAAGTAGAGACCTAATCTCTTTGCATTGGAATGAATTTAATCAATTTTACATAGTTTTATCCATGTCATTAAGACTTGGGTTTATTTACATGCAACATAGACAAAACTAGACCCAATGCATTGTAGATGCTCTTAGTCTTATAAAGTGAGTCTATTTTCCATGTATGAATGATGTGGGACAACTCACAAGTGATATTTTAACAAACTCTTGCTCGTTTATGGCCGAGTTAAGAGCATCTCCAATGGCGCTTTAATTGCAAAAATCTAGAGGCAATGTTAGGAAAGACTTCTACAATGGTGAATTATTTGCTTCTATTTTTGATGATGTGGCATGAGAGAGTTTTAAAAATTCTGGAACTCTTTCCACATCTCAAGCCTCTGTTAGACATGTTGAGTCACTATTTTTGCTCCTATTTATCTTTTATTTCTAATTAAAAATTATAATTAAGTTGGAAAGAGGGTAACTGCACGGGAAATTTTTTGGGAATTGTTGGGCGCGAAGCATAGGGATTTTGGAGAGGAAAAAAATTAACTAGTCTGCAGGCTTGTCAATAGGGCTAAAAAAGCAGAATTCACTTTCAACCTATAAATTAAATTCAAAATGAAGGCATACTTTGTCGATATTCACTCTCAACCTATGAATTAAATTCACCAAAGATCACTCTAAAACTACGAATTAAATCGACGAAGGACATAATATATAAGTATATTGTTGAAAATATTCATGATTTTATACTGTTGAGTTTGATCGACGCAAGTTTTTTGTCACTTTCTTATAACAGTTTTAGAACGACAAAAGGAAAAAGTCTGTCACTTTTTTATAACAACACGAAAGAAGTCTCTGTATCCATTTTTTAGAACGACAGCTATTAACCATTAGAGACTGATCTATTCCACTCAGTCCACGTGAAGAGAGAGAAAGCCTTCTATTTTATTGCCTCGTGGACTACAATTCACACCCATCATTGGAGATGCTCTAAGGGCTCGACCATAAAAATTTGACCAAAAAATAAAAAATAAAAAATTGTGAGATTATTTTCTTCTAAACTCCAATCAAGACACCATCATGAACTCACTCAATCTCAGTTATTTTCATCCAATTTCAACGCACACGTTGACCGTATTTTACGAGTGTCCATCGTGGGACCCACCCTTCATGAAATAAAAACTACCGGACGGAAATAGAATTCCACATAAAAATTTAAAAGAATAAAAAACAATTAGAATATTTCGGCATCTGCACTAATTATATTGTTTTAAATATTCTAACCTAGATCTCCCATGAAAACAATAAAATAAAAATTATTCTATCTCGCCGGCCAAGCTATTGGGTTTAACCATTTTTATAATTTATTTTATCATTTATTATAAAAAAAAAATATATTAATTAGACTTATGATTATACTAAAAGAATTTATACATAAAATCAACTTAATTAATATTGAAATTAATTATAAATCAATATAAAACGTTAAACTTAGAACTTTAGATTTATATAAAAATATAAAATTATATGAAATAAAAATAATAAACCAGTATATATCGGGTTTTTGGCAAGTATTTTCTAGTTAAATCAGTATTTTGCAGCATATAAACATATGAACCATTATATAGCAAAAAATGGTATTTAGCATATAACCATAAAAGAGGATTTATTTATTATTACCGGCAGGAATAATACATATTTAAAACATTAATCCACATATACCAAAACCTCATTACCAAAAAAAAAAGATAAAGGTATTGTTCGGTAGGATCTGCTTTTTAACAGATATGCATTCTTTCCAATAGAAATATACTATATAAAATAAAATAAACAAAAGTATAACATATTATAGCATAAATATACATTTTTATTAGAAAGAATTGATTTGTCTAACGGTTAGACCATTTCACATAAAAAGTTGTAAAAAAAAATAAAAATACATTAAATATATTAGCTGCATGAAAACAGCCAAATCTAGAGAGTGCCCACCAGGCCACCACCCCGACCACCCACCTTCAAACTCCCCTAAAACCACCCAAAATTTCCCCTAGTTTATAAGCAATTAATCATTCAAAAATATCATATAAAAATTCCTCATAAATTTCAATCTAGGGGTCATCCATAAGTCAATCACCACACCTCCAAACAAGCCCTTTAACTCCTCCTCAAACATTTGCTAGCTAAATTAATTTTTATTTTTTATTTTGTTCCAATTTTTTCCACAGTAGTAGTCCTAATTAATGGATGAACCGAGGTACTGGATGTGGTCCAAGACCCGACCCGCAAACCCGCTAACCGACTCGTGGGAAGAGCAAGCCTTCGCCGTGGATTCCGCCGGAGGAGCCCTCGTTTGGCCGCCAAGATCCTACTCTTGCACCTTCTGCCGCCGCGAATTCCGGTCGGCACAAGCCCTCGGCGGCCACATGAACGTCCACCGCCGAGACCGTGCCCGCCTCAAGCAACAACCCGACCCGCCCGTTTTTCCTAACCCTAATTACCCTGAAATTCTTGGGCCGCGCGGGTTTTGCCTCACTAGGGTTTCATCTGGGCCCGCTTCGCAATCGGGCCGAAAACGGGCTCGGGAGGTCTCGGTTTCGGGTTTAGGGTTTGATTTGGTCGACGAAGAGGAGGAGATGGGGAGCGGCAAGAGGAGGAAGGTTGAGGAGAGATGTCATTTCGTCGTGCAATCGGAGGTGAAGAAATCGTGTTCTGGGCTGGTTGAGGAGCTCGATCTCGAGCTAAGGCTTGGATGTGCATCAAAGGTGAAGTGAAAAAACATTTTGGAATTGAAAGAAAAAANCGGTCGCCTAGCTCGATGATCTTCGATTGTTCGAATGTTGTTACTTGAATTTGTGTTCCAATTTGTATTTTGTAGTTTGTAAAGTTTTTCTGAGCATATATGTAAATATAAATATTGAGATGATAGAGTGAGAATAAATCATGATAATTAGCTTGATTAATTTTCCTATATCAAAATTTGAATGGCTTCAAGAGATTTGCAGTACTCATGGCTTTATCATCAGCTTGATGCATAAACTGTTTTTTCCGGTGAAAATTTCCAGTTCTACAATGCATGAATTGGTCGTAAATTCAACCTAAGTAGCGCGATTTTGTTCGGTGGTAATAACTAATAACTAACCTTTTTCGACCGAGTAATTTTACTAGCAAGAACAATATTTCAACCTAAAAATATATATTAATTCACATGTAAAATAATGTTGCCTATTACCCTTTAATCATCAGGATCTTTTACGAACAGTATGAATGACACGTGCATAAAGATGACATCATCGATCTTGCATGCATGTATTCGAATCCATCAAACGACATAGTTAAATCGAACGAAAGCACTAGACGATCACTTGCCGGAGAAGATCTATATATATATATCCCAATTGTTATAGTCACACATCTTACTTAACTCACATCATGTTTTGAAAATTTAACCATCCATCACAAGAAACAATTCAATTCCATCATTTTTCACGGCGTAATAAATTCTTGTATGAAAATTTAATCTAACCGTTAGACGGTCGACTCATCATACTTATTTTTAAATTGATGAGTTTACGACATCCAGTTTGAAGGTACGCTGCGGCACGTATGTCGAGAAATTACGACACGGCTGTCTAACGATTAGATCTGCCCAATATCAGTCTTAACTACATAAATTCATTATTCATAATAATATTCCATCTTAATTGCATGACTAGCCACTTTAGGCAATTCAAAAGCTCCCTTAGCTAGCTAGTTGTCTCATTAATTAGGAGTCTCTCTCAAGAGATAGAGATATATAATTATGAGTTCTAACTTCTCATGAATACAAATGAATAATACAAAACCTAAAATGAGTTTTTGAATAGATGAAGAGAACTGACTGAAAACTGCAGTGATCCATTTCTTTTTTCCCACTGACATATATGTTTCTATCAAAGTATACATATGTAAATTCATGTAATAACAATACTCAACTTCCAAACAAGACATAAGACATAGATTTGATTTTTTTCACAATTTTTTTTTCACAAGTACACATAACAAGCCAAATACAACACAACATGGATTCCCTTTTCCTTTGTACTATTATCGTCTCGTGTTTTTATTGCAGTGAATTAGCACAAAGTCCATACACTTGTGTTCTCCTATTTAGCTTTTTGCCTTTATTTTTTTTGCTTTCACAATCCTTCCAAAAATTGCCACCAACTACGAAGGAATCAAACCATTTAAGTATTAACAAAATTCCCTTTTTAATTTTCAGCTAGAGAATATTTTTGCGTCATGGCTCTTAGGGCCCTGTTTGTGTATAACTTTCATATTAACTATTACCTTGTACTATTGTATTGTTTTTTATTTATTTAATTTTATTTTACAAGTTGAGATCTAAGAGTATGTGTGTGTATCTTAGGAGGAATTGGATGAAGAATATTGATTAGGACCCTCATCAACCCTAGCTAGACTAGACACAAATGAGGTTTAAATTGATATATATTGCCTTTTTAAATATAGAAATTCTTGCATGGACATCCTAATCGTTAGACGGTCGATCTGTCGTTTTTCTTTAGTAAAAATATATATTATACTATGAAATGTCATATTTTTTTATGTTGTTTAAAAAGTATATATGACGTTTCAATTCAAAAGTATGAAAATCTGTTGATAAAGTATGATTGTCTAATTGTATAATATGTCTAACAGCCTTACTTTTCAATAAATGTTTTATATTGAATATTCGGTCCATAACTTTTTTCGACAGCAATTAAGGTGCCTTAAAATCTTGAGATTTGGTAACTTGTGCATATAATCTCATAAATAAGCACAAATTGTTAGAGAAATGCTATGGAGCCAATCGTTGACTATTTTATGGAGCCAACCACCAATGTTATAGTGTCATGTAGGCCATGGGGTAACAGTTATACGATCAAATTGTTATACTTATCTATTAAAAAAAATTGTACATTTACGCTATGAAATTTTCATATTTTTCAAATTATATTGATCTGCAATTTATACAAAAAAGAAATTCTTATTTCACAAAGGGATTAATCCCTCTATACTTTTAAGTTTTATCATACACTTAAACCTATACAAATAACATAAGGATAATATTAATATTCTTCACGATCGAGTATGTAATTAAATAGGTTGTATCCCTATCCGTGAACCGTGATTAAATTTTTCTCATCCTTATCAATTGAATTCCTATTTTATTTTATTTTTTTTCTTTGGGAGTTGTCTCTATCTAAATAATATTAATTCTAAGTATCATTATTAATTACTCGGAAAAAGACATTTTCTCACTTGGATTTTGTGGACAATTATATAATTACATGAGTGCAAAAAGGGCTTTCAGTTGAACTGGCTTTTGTTTGTCCTGTTTGAGTATATCAACAAATTGGCCCTGATGAAAAATCAGAGAGATTTTAAGTGATATTGATGAGAAGATCACATGGGGTTTTCAGATGTGATGAATTAAATTAATTTATGTTATGTTTGATACCACATTTGTGAGGCCAATGAGCAGAGGACGCGTGTCCCGATTAGCGTATGTTAAACTTAATTAGAAGATAATGGGCTTCGGATTACAACGACATGCAAACAATTAAATCGACTCGATTGTTCAATTTGATAGTACAGATATTCTTATTAAGGCCAATAGTCATGTAATTAAGCCGTAATTTGGCAAGTATAGGCTAACACAGCTGATTTGTATAGGATGAAATTTCATTTATCTACTAAAATTGTCAAGAATCTTGTAGCCAACAAGTTCATTAAAATATGCACAATAATTTAGCAAAGAGAATTTGAGTGAAAGGAATGAATTGGGTTGTAAATTAATAGTAGTTTCAGCTAGCTAGCCTGTGCATGTGTTTGCTCTAATTAGAATATATATATATATTTTTTTTTTTTGCTAATTCCAAGATAAATAAATTTATTATTTAAGAATAGAATAACTTAGAGGAATAAATGTGGAGATGTTGAGTCCAGAATTTAGTTGTTGCGTTTTTCGAGTTGTTGATTTATTATACTTTTTGTGACAGCCTGTAAGTATATTTGCATGGCCATGGATGGATAGATGGATAACTCGTGTTTGTTAATTGTTTTTACAGGTTTGAAATTTGAACTGACAGGTTATTGAGGGAAAAATCTAGAATATTGAAAATAAAAAGAAAATGTAAATTATGGATCGAGAGAGAGATTTTTATGCGTTATGAGTTTTAATTTGATTAAGATTTAAGTGAATATAGTGTAATCGCCTAATCGGTAAGATAATTAATTGTTACACACACCTAACATGAAATAATTAATTGTTACACACACCTAATAGTTAAGTAGTCATACTTTTTTTTATTCCTGACAAACATACATATTGTTACATATTGTTATATTTTGAAAAAATTACGTAAACATAAGTATGATGTTTTATATTGTAATTATCAATTATCTATTTCTGTTAAAAAGTATGATGTTTTATTTTACTTCAAAAAAATCTGTCATTCATCTAATGATCTAATCAAAGAGAACACGAAATTGAACAAATAAATGGATTTGATCCCAAATAATTTTTGGTCATCAAATTTGACTTAGATTTTAAATTGATATAAATCATGACCGTTCCGTCATTAATTAGTTGGTTTACATATGAGCTTTGCAAACCATAATGGTCACAAATATTACAAGCTTATGGTATCAAGAGAAGCTTCATTTTAAAATAGACCTATTTTCACTTTATTGGGCCCAGAATTATTAGAAACCCAAGGATGAATTCTAATGGACCTTGTAGGCCCACGTAAATTTAGTGGGTTCACACTCTAACAAAAGTCCAGAATCCTTAATAGCAACATAAGTTAGAATTAAAAAAAAAAAAAAATTGAGTTGAAAAACAGTTTCAACGTAATTTTTTTATGTATATATATTCTTAATATTAATAATCTTCAATATAACATTCTATACATATATAATGAAATATATATCTACCTTTACAAATAAAAGTTAAATCATATAATCGAGCCTATTTGGAAAATAACAAAATTATTATTTATTAATTAAATAAATTTACCTATCAACTCTACTACATGATATAACTATAAATAAAAAAAAATATTATAATATATAACGAGCTAGTTTTACGGGGTTAACTTTGATATTTTAAATAAAACTAATAACATAACAATTTAAAAAACAATTTGTGCGGTTTTTGTGTGGGGTAACTTTGATGTTTTTGTGTAGTTGCGAGTTTGTTATTCTAGCGTTGTTAGGTCAGGCTCTAGGCGATCTTTGGATCTGTCTCCCAATCTTTTCAATCTTTTGTTGTATTTTTCATCTTTTGGTTACTTTTCTCGCATGTGGTTTTTATTTATATAATATCTCTATCATTTTGAAAAAAAAAAAAAAACAATTTAAAATCATTACGGGAAAATAGAAAAAATTATCACCGTAATATCATTTTTTCTTTCCTTTTATTCTAAACACTATATAATGAGCATAGCAATATTGAATTCATATAATTCTTTATTCTTTTCTTTTATTCTAAACACCATATTATGTGCATATCAATAGGCAATATCGAATTGTTATATATAATTCTTTGTTGTGGTAAGAATTGTATGTTACAAACAAAATAAATTCTCCATTAAAGACTCCATAAATGCACAAGACTCATATTCAAACCTTAGAAAAATGTATGTGCTCCTCTAAATCTATCAATAACAAACATTAAACAACCCAAAAACAAAAAATGCCTTTTTCATTTCAAAATTTGCTCAAATCCTTCAAACACCTCCTCCCCACCTCCCCAAAACACGCTTTCTCCAAAAGCGCCACCTTCCTAAAAGCGCTTTTAGCACTCACCCTCCTTTCCCTCTTTTCCCTCCCTTACTATCTCACCCCCTTCCCCCTCACCAAATGGCCACTCTACCGGCAAGAACGGGCCCTCGTCGGGCCCGGGCCCGACAAAACCAACATTTCCCACATCCTCTTCGGAATCGGTGGCTCCGTCGCCACATGGTCCCACCGCCGCCGCTACTCCGAACTCTGGTGGGAACCGAACGCGACCCGCGGCTTCGTCTGGCTCGACGAGGCCCCGAGCCCCGAAAACGGGCTCGAGCCCTGGCCCGAATCATCCCCCAAATTCAAAGTCTCGTCCAACACGGCCCGTTTCAAGTACACGTGCCCGTACGGGCACCGGTCAGCTGTTCGAGTGGCTCGAATTGTGAAGGAGAGCTTCGAGCTCGGGCAGGCGGACGTGAGGTGGTTCGTGATGGGCGATGACGACACGGTTTTTTTCCCCGAGAATTTGGCGAGCGTTTTGGGAAAATACGATCACGAGAGGATGTATTATATCGGGAGCGTCTCGGAAAGCGTGGAGCAAGACGTGGTGCACTCGTACACTATGGGCTACGGAGGGGCGGGCTTCGCGGTCAGCTATGCGCTGGCCGCGGAGCTCGTTCGGGTGCTCGACGGGTGCATTGACCGGTATTCGAATTTTTACGGGTCGGATCAAAAGGTCGGTGGATGTGTTAGTGAGATTGGGGTGCCATTGTCTAAGGAACTTGGATTTCATCAGGTGAACTTTAATTTCGACTTTTTTTTTTCTTTTTTGAAGAATTTGATTATGTGAATTTGATTTAATCAAGATTTTTATAATGTTTGGGAATCAAACAATGGTGAATTGAAAAGATTATGTTGATGAAATTAATTAGATTAGCTATGTGAGACCAGAATTTGTTGGTCAAATGTAATATTAACGTAATATAATTAACTTTGTATGGATTTCATATTCTTTGACCAAAAAACAATGCTTTTAGCCTTTTTATTCATATATGTTTCAGGTAGTAAATTATCTATCTATCTAAACTAATTATTTTTTTTAATATTATAAAAGGATGAGTATGTTTTAAGAACAATCTGTATTGCCTAAATTGTCGTTTATCTAATTTCTAAAGTAAATTACAATTTGCTTCTATATCTCCAAATCAATCAACTAAATTAACACATTGAAACCTGATCAATGCAAATTTCATGACTTTGAAAAAGAATAAAGTATTTACACATACATAGTGGTCTTAGACATTTTTTTTTTATTTTTTTTGTATAAAATTAATGTTACACGCGTTTATACTCAATGAAAGCCTAAAACATCATAACGTATACAAATCAATGTATCAATAATATCATATTCAACTTAACAAAAATTCTTGTGAGAATGTCCTATTGTTAGATGGGCCTATCCTTGTCCCACTATAACAATAATACTAGTACCTCCTATTATTTTTAAATATCATTTTAACTTTATCAATCATTATCCAAACAAAATTCTTAAAACATATTTACCTCCTACTTTTCTAACTTTTTAAATGTCATTTTGTAAATATTTTACCATTATTACCCTCATTTAGCTAATAAATACAATCTTTTCATATTCACTCTTCATCTTTTCTCAAAACATCCATCTCTATTTTCATTAATGAAGATTATTATTGACAAAAAATGATTACTTCTTAAAAACGACACTTATTATGAATATGAAGGAGTATTTATGATATGGAATGTCATACTTTTATTTATATTGATATATAGAGTGACATTTCAAATTGACTAATATACTAAATTTTAAATTTCGAATAGATGGATATACGAGGAAACCCGTACGGGTTACTCGCGGCCCACCCGCCCGCACCTCTCGTCTCGCTACACCATCTAGACTACATGGACCCTCTCTTTCCAAACACAACTGGGGTCGAGTCAGTCGAAAAGCTCTTCACCGCCTACAAATCCGACCCTGCCCAAACCCTACAACACACTTTCTGCTACGACACGACCCGAAACTGGTCCATATCCGTCTCGTGGGGCTACACCGTGCAATTGTACCCATTTTACGAGACCGCGAAGAATTTGAGCACACCACTACAAACATTTTCGACATGGGCTTGGAACGACGGCCCGTTCACGTTCGATGTCCGGCCCATCGAGCTGGGCCCGTGTGGAAAGCCCGTGATATATTATTTCGAGGGTGTTGATAAGTTTGGGAATGGGAGTACGATGACTCGGTACAACTATATAGATGAGGGGAAAAAATGCGAGTGGGAAAGTTATAAGGCTGCTTATTTGATTGAGGGGTTTAATGTCACTGTGGACTTGCTTGATCCTCACATATGGAGCCAGGTAAATTATTCCTCAATTAATTCCCTTCTATAACTTAAATTTTTTTATTTATTTTAAAGTTAAACAATGATAATGTATGTTTTTTTAACAAATATGTTTACCAACACCTTTAAATGACATTTAAAAAGTAGTATAAATTATAAGTATATTATTTTATTCAAAAGCGGCAAGTCTTAGGTTATGTTTGGTAAATCAATAAGATAGCTTGTAACTTATTTGATTAGCTTATAAACTCCATGTAATTAAATAAGCTCCATTTGGTAGGACGGGCTTATTTAAAAAGCTCGAGCTTATTTGATAAGCTTCTATTAGTAACTTTTCAAATAAGCTCGTTGAAATTTTTATTTCAGCTAGCTTATCAGCTAATTTTACTAAACACTTTTATCATATAAGCTAGCTTTTCAGCTATAAGTCATAAGCTATAAGCTATAAGCTCGAAAATTATTAATAAGCTATAACCTAGTTTATCAGCTATCAGGTAGTTTTACCAAACACAATTTTATACTATCAAGTTAAACAATCATAGTTTTTAAAAAATGTACATAGTTTGGCATTTAAATGTATATATTTTTTGCTTGATCCTCAAACATTGAGTGATTCCTGAATTAATTCCCTTCTATCACTTCATTTTGTTTTTTTTAAATTGAACAATGATAACTATATTCTTTCCAACAAATATGATAATAAGTCAATATCACATATTTGACATATTTTAAAAAGTAATACAAATATAAATATGACATTTGTTAACAAAAATATGTTGTTGTTTTTTTCAAACAAATATGAAGATTAATAGTTTAACAAAACTGTGATCTGATGGAAATTTTCTTTAAGTTGGATTGGATGCAGATTTTTTTAATTATTATTTTTATAAAGATTTATCTAATTGAAATTAACAATGAAAAAAAAAACAACATAAAAATGCAATTCTAATTTTACCTTTTCTCTACGATTCCACTAACACAATGAAAAAATAAAAATATATATGATTGTATTTTAAAACTATGTTCATCCACTCGCATACTTATATATAACTATCAGTCAATCTTTTTTTATTATTTTTATACACTCTAACATTACACTTTTATGTAATATATCCTTTTACAATTTCAAATTTATCTCATTTTTTCTTAAAAAATAATTCTTACTATATTTTTTAACTTACTTTTTCGTAATCAGACAAAATTGTGGAAAATATCTCATATTGTCTCACACAGACACAGTTGCACAATGCATGCTGAAACTAGTGGATATTAATATTTGTTACATCTAGAAATAAACAAATCCTTAATTAAAAAGATAATAATAATACGTTGCGAAATAGAGCAATTGATCGCGCATTGATTAGGGAATAGGGAGTAGGGACAATCGTGAAATTATGACTTTTTATAATAGAGTATTATATTTCGGATTGTTTATTAAGGTTATGTTTGGTAGATAATAAGTTTTTTTTTTCTTAAAGCTTGAATTTATCTCATAAATTTTTTTGGGTAACTTTTTAAATAAGGTAGTTAAAAATTTTATTTCAGCTAATTTATTAGCTAATGTTATTAAATATTTTTATCATATAAATTAGTTTTTCAACTATAAATCATAAAATATAAGCTATAAATTTAAAAATTACTGATAAACTATCAGCTCGTTTTTATCAAATACTGTCTAAGATTTCTCTTTTTAGAAAGAGGCGCCACGTAGACAGTGCTGTGAGATCTTTCAAACGGGCGGCTCGGACCTACAAGACGACGTCGTACAGGTCAGAATCAGAGGCTGCAATGATTGGGAATCTGTAACTCCTCCCTAGCCTAATTAAAATTTCATAAGTTAATTAATGGCATGTGAAATTATAATAGTTTGCATATTTGAATGTTACCATATATTTTTTTTTTTTTTTTTGGTCAAATGAATGTTACCATATATGCTTTTGATAATAGTATGTTTGTTACATCAAATTAATTTGTACCCTTTTTCTTCATTTTTATTTTTTTTTCCGATTATATCAATTAATCATGTTAGATACTTTGTTGTTTGTATACTGATGTCAGTACAAATTACGTATACAGAGGAAAATATTCCTAAGTTTTTTTATTTTTTTCAGTGTACCTTGAATAATTTCTCAATTTGCAAATTGCATCAATACATATTATTGTGTTATAGCTAGAAAATATCATCTATAGTTTGTTTGATATTGTATAATTTCGTTTTACATTTGTATAGATGATTTAGAATATATTTGCCAAATTAACTGAAAACTCATCTGATAATTTATAATATAATTTTATGTTTATAATTGATAATTTATGACTCATAGCTAAAAAGTTAGTTCACATAATAAAATTATTTAGTAAAATTAGATTACTAGTAATTAGTTGAAATAAAAATTTTAATAGTTTTTTTTTCTTTTTGTAGAAAGCTATATACAGAAGTTTATGAGATAAATTTTAATCTTTTAAACAAACTCTATTAGTAGATGAACAACTATTTTTACTGGAAATTAATATGCCGTAATGATTGATCCATACGATTTTCTTGTGTTTATAAGTTTTAGAAGAAAAGAAATATAAATCATAATCCAATCAAAAGTTGAGTGGAAAAAAAAATAAAAACATTTGGCAAAACAAATTGGATATAATTCCAATCGCTACCATATTTTCTAATACATCTATTATATACTTCTAGAATAGGATATATCTATCTATATCTATATCTATATATAGGAAAATGCTACAATCCCGTTACGGAACCATTCCGTTGGGATTGTAACCGTTAGATCATCAAGTAACCGTCAATGATGCTTGATCTAACGGTTACAAATCCCAACGGAATGGTTCCGTAACGGGATTGTAGCCTTACCCCTATATATATATATATATATATATAATAAGATTACCATTTACTAAAAATAGTAGCAAAAATTTAGGAAACACTTAATGCATACCATTTTTAGAAAATTTTTAAATATATGCATTAATTGCTTCCATATATACGTTTTCAAATAAGATATGAAAATTACTTAAATAAATTTATTAATATCTGTAATATTTTTATTGATATTTATTATAGTAAATTACAAGATTGATTTTCAGTGATTTATGTTGGTAATAATTTGATCAAGATAAATATTATTTTATTAATATTTGTAATACTTTCATTGATATTCATTATACTAAATTACAAGATTGATTTCCATGATCCATGTTGATAATATTTTGGTCAAGATAAATATTACACCACATTTTAAGTTCTAACCATAATATTAATTATTTTTTTTCAAAAATATTCACTTTTTATCCAAAAATATTTATGGAAAATCATAACAGGTTAGATAGAATTTTTTTTTCCAAGTAATCAGACAAAATCAAGTTGGTGAATTAATCTTTGCCAATATATTTTTTTTCTTAAGCTTTATTTTGTTAAATATAAAAAATAAATTATTCTTCAAATTAATATAATTTACTATTTAAGAGATAATGACCAGATACATTAAATAGTTTCACTAATGGTAAAAAATTAAAATTGAAATATATAAACTATTTTTTAGAATTTATTTGTATATTATTGACACCCATGATTATTTTTTTTATTTTTTTTATTTTGATTTATTTCTATAACCAAATTCTTGTAAAATATATTTGCATTGCAGAGTATGCTGAATAAACTACAAATCCTTATAATGCGAATTAGAAAAATCTTGATCATAGAAGGGATTGAGATTTTGGCATTTTCTAAATCAAAGTTGTTTAATTAGTCTACAAACCTAAATTCTAAAAAAACATGGATATTTTTTGTAAAATATATATACACTATTTAATTTTAAATTTATTTACATATTTTAAATTGATTACATAAATAAATAATAGTAACGTGCATTAAATATTTTTCATTACATAAAATAAAAAGAAAAAAAAGACGTAGAACTTCTATAACTTTATAAATAATAATGATATTATATGACAATAAAGTTTATAATAAAATAATAATTAAGTATTATATAGTGAACAAGAATAAGTAAAATTGTTATTCTCTCTTATATCAAGGAATAAATATATATACTAAAATCAAATATATATTAGTATAAATGTGTCAGTGAGATAATCCCTAACATGCTCTTATTTAATGTTTTGACTAAAAAAGTACAAAATAGATTGTAACTTTATTGTTTATTACACTTAATTTAACGCTGATTAAAAGAGGTGGAAAATAGATGATAACCCCACTGCTTTATATACTTAAATGGACAAAGCCTGTGAAAATAAATTATTTAATATTTATGTCACTGCATCGCACGGGGTACGTACTAGTTGTATATTTGGCAAACAAAGTTGCTCATGTTATTGCTGTCTTTTGATTCTTTTTCAAGCTCCCCTTTCCTTTGAAAGGCGGATGTTTTTCCTTTTTGGCTTAAGGATCTTGTATGTAAGATTCTCTTTTGCTCAATTAATATAAGTTCTTTATCCAGTCAAAAATAAAATAAAATAAAATAAAAAAAAGAATAGGATATATTGTATTACTTAAGGAAAAAAAAATTTAGAGAAAATATAAAATCTCAACTTTATGATTATGTTACTTCTTGAATGTAATTAGTATCTAGCTTACGTCCATCACGTGACACCATCATATGCAACCTAGGAACATCGAGTATTTATCCCAATGGTCCAAAAAAATCATTTTAGTATCATATTATACAAAAAATTGCTATAAAACAAATTTCCATGTCTTGCTTTCCCAATTCCCAGTATATCATTTTCACCTAATACAAAAGTCAAAATGTACCTTTGATATTGGCAGCCTTTCATTATTCCAAAAAAAAAAAATAAAAAATAAAAAATAAAAAATAAAAAATAAAAAATGATTGCGAACGAAAGGTATTTATGTCTAATAATTCAATATCATAGTTAGGAATTTGATTTGTGTTTTGGTCGTTATATTCCTTAAACCTAATTGATTTGTGTTTAATTTCTTTGTTTTTTCCTTATTTTCTTTTTGATGATAACAATCAAACATATTAGATACTTTTTTTTACACTAATGATAATAATAATATGCAAATCACATCAATCATAATGTGTTCCAGCTAGGACCGGAATAATATTTACTTAATTGTAGTTGCATGCTTCATACTAATCTCCAATTGGCCTTAACAATACCAGCCATTAACAGTTTGCTGCATCATTTTAAGCATATTGTACAATTTGGGCTTACAATTGGGAGTGAGATTTATGTTCCAATTTATTGTTTCAATTTATTTGTAGACCTTCATTTTGTCAAATTCTTTCTCCTTTTTTCTATGTACTAAACGAAATAAGTATTTATTAGGAAATGGACTAAAATGAAAACTTAAAGGACTAAATCTAAACATAGTGTTATAAATAATGACTGAAAGTTTAATTCATGGAGTCCGGAATTCAAATCAGAAGCATCTTCACAACCACGATGGTCCAATATTTTTTTTTTCTTAAATATATAAATATATTCTAAATGAGGACGATAAGAGATAAATAAGTAAATAACTATTAATTATAGCCAAGAAAAACTTGGTAATTTATTATTGGCTAGTAGTTGAAAACCATAACATTGACTTAATAAGTTTGAGATTTTTTACATGTGGAAAATCAAACCGGTCTCTAGTTGAAATTAAAAAAAAAACACTTTTTCCAATTGAAACAAGAAAAATCACATTTTCAAAGAAAGTGTGATGAATATTCCACCTTCGTGATCAGCGTAGAAACGCGNTTTTTTTCAAAAATGCATATATATTATTAAGAAGAGTAAATTCGCTTAGGACTTCGAGTGACATTGTAATATTTTTTTCAAAATTAGATATTTTTTAACATTTTTGTAATTTAACTGAAATATTTAGAAATCTCATGTCTGAAATAGGATTTGATGTGAGGTTTCATATATATTTTTTGTATGAGATTAATTTAGTATATATATATATATATTTTATCTTTAAAATATAATAAAAATTCCAATTGAATAAATAAATTGAATAACTCACGACTTCTTAAAAATGTATGAAATCTCAAATTGATACCTCACAACTTTCTAAAATCAAATGAATCACAAAAATTCTTATAAAGCCCTCAAAAAGTATTTAAATAATCCAAAATGAATACACTACTTCAAATGTCACAATTTTCAATTTGATTATATTCTAAATATAACATTTTTAAATATACATCTCTTGAAAATCCATAACTGATTATTCACATTCCTCATGGTATCTTCATTCTAGCATTGTTATATATATAATATATAGCTACACCAACCATAATCCCCCCCAAACAAAAGTGTCTCCACACCTTCAAAAACTATTTTAAGGAAATTAAAACTCACCGGAGATGCCAAATTCACCTGAGAACTCCATCACCAAAGACCCTCTAAAACCTTGGAAACATTTCATCTCATCACCGTCCAAACTCGCCGTCATCCGGCCCAACCTCACCGGAGCCCTCTTCTCCGTCGCCATCTTCACTGCCCTATCCTTTTACTACTTCCTCCCCATCCGCCAATCGATCTACGGCCACGGCCAGCCCGCAATCCACTTATCCGACGGCCCGAATGACGACGACGAGGCCATCGCAACAAACCTAACGCACATCCTCTTCAACATCGGCGGCTCGGCCCAAACGTGGGCCCAACGCCGCCGCTACTCCGAGCTCTGGTGGGCCCCCGGCCGAACCCGCGGGTTCGTATGGCTCGATCGGGCCCCCAAAGCCGGGCCCGGGCCCGATGGGCCCAGCCCGCCATACTTGATCTCGGCGAACACGTCCCATCTCAAGTACACGTGCAGGTATGGGTCGAGGTCGGCCGTGCGGATTGCACATATCGTGAAGGATGCGTTCGGGCTCGGGCTCGAGGGCGTGCGGTGGTTCGTGATGGGGGACGACGACACCGTGTTCTTCCCGGAGAATCTCGTGGCCGTGCTCGGGAAGTACGACCACAGGGAGATGTACTACGTCGGGGGAATCTCGGAGAGCGTGTCGCAGGTGAGGGTGCACTCGTACGAGATGGCATTTGGAGGTGGGGGCTTCGCAGTCAGCTACGCGCTGGCGGCGGAGCTTGTCCGAGTCCTCGATGGGTGCATCGACCGGTACTCGGAGTCGTACGGGTCGGATAGTAAGATCGGCGCGTGTGTGAATGAGATTGGTGTGCCGGTCACGAAGGAACTCGGGTTTCATCAGGTAATTTTAAGTTAACACACAAATTGTTGAGTGAGACATCTTTAGGTTAATAAACAAATTCTTGGGTGAGACGGTGGTTAGAGTTCTATTGTTGCTAAATAAAAAACATATTTAGAAATATCATATGCCATATTTTATTCAATTTTTAGTGGTTTCTAAAATTTTTAGGAAATTTTTTTTTTTCTTGTTAAATTTGTTAGGCACATCTTGATGTTTGTAGTTATTTCGTTTTTCATTAATTGCTATTATCTAATCTCACAAAAATGTCACATTTTATGTTTGTAGTTATTTCAACTTTCATTAATTGGTATTATTTAATATATCTCGAAAAAGAAAATGTTACACTATTGAGGTGGATATATTTTAGTGGTGTTTTTAGTAGAGTTTTCCATATTTTTTAGGACTTTTTATTGGTTAATTTGTTAGACATATTTGGATGCTTGTAGTNAAATGTAACGCTATTCAGATGGATATCTGGGGCAATCCGTTCGGACTTCTATCCGCTCACCCGCTAGCGCCCTTAGTTTCCTTGCACCATCTCGACAACGTGGACCCCCTATTTCCGAACACGAGCCGGGTCGATTCCGCCAAGAAGCTAATCGGGGCGTACAAATCCGACCCGAGCCGAGTGTTGCAATACACTTTCTGCTACGATCTGACCCGAAATTGGTCCATATCGGTCGCGTGGGGATACAACGTGCAACTGTACCCGTTTTGGGTCAGACCTAAAGAGCTCAGCACCCCGTTGCAGACTTTTATACCGTGGGCCAAGAATAATGGCCCGTTCACTTTCAATACCCGCAAGTACAACCTCGACCCATGCAAAAGGCCCATCGTGTTTTATTTTGATCGGGTCAAGAAATTCGAGAATGGGAGTACAGTGACATCGTATGCAAGGGCGGCGGCCGACGAGCATCGAAAGAAATGTGACAAGGAGAGTTATAGGGCGGCCTATTTGGTTAAGGGGTTCAATGTGTTTGCAAGCCATTTTGATCCTCAATTGTGGAACAAGGTACTTAGCTATGCCTCCAAAACAAAATTTTGAAGATATTCATATTGGAATTTTAGAAAGATCTTTAAAAATTGAATCATCAATTAGACAGTAGGGTGACCAATGGTGCGATTTGACGCAAAAATTGCGATGAATTGAAAATACCGGGAAACTCGAACTTATCAAAAAAGATAGCCAAGTTGCAAATCAATATAGAAAACCCCTAACGAATTGAATTGCACCTCAATGCATGTTTGACTTGATTTTCATGATTGTCACGCATTTATATACATCGACTTTGTTTAATTTGGTGTTACCATTTGTAAATCCGCACCTTACAAAAAAAAAGTTGTGAAAACTAAAAATTGTGTGTTATTACAACATAGAAAAAATTCCACCTATAAAAATTATCTTAAAAAAAAAATAAATTGTATTTTGCCGAATTAAACAATTTGGCTCAATTTCGATTTTGGGTCAGTTTTTAGTCACCCGTGTTATTTAATTTTGACAGTTAGTCACAATATTGATGGAGAAAATATTATGCAAGATTTAATTAGACTAAAAACCCTATTATTTAATCCAATTATTACGCGGTTTTGCTTTGAGAAAAATAGGTGTGATTATAGTTTGTCTTTGAAAAATCAGGCACCAAGGAGACAGATTTGCGAGTTAACGAGCGGCTCTTATGAGAAAGTCAACGTTGTAAATCTCAGAATCAGAGGATACAATCGGCTAGAGACGGTGTTGCCGGTGTAAATCACGCCGTCGAATTGAAACGCGCCAGCGCAACATAACAATCGGCGGGTTAATTTGACTTTTTTTTTACGCTGACTAGAAGGGATTGTCATGTACGATGTACAACTTGTGATGCGGAAGGTATGAGGGAGAGAAGCGTGTTGACTCTGGGACTAGGCCGCTAGCCAAAAAAACCATTTTTTCTTTTATTTTTCCAAAAGAAAAATGAAAAAGAAATTATCCTCTCATTGTAGGCTGGTGGTACTTTTTTTGTAGCTGGTACTTTGTACACCAAATACTTGGTAGCAAATTTATACATGAAAATCCAAGAATGAAATTAATTTTATAAATTAAATTTATGTTATACAAGTACAATTTTATTATAAGTGACATTACGCACATGGAGAAATTGAGTATTCCGAGTGTTGACATCCGAGTCCAGACCCAACATAGGTACCGGTCCGAGCCGAAGGAGCCGGTCACCAAAACCGCACGTGGGTGCCGAGCTGAATGAGAGTCAAAGTCGTTTGGAATGGCGGGGGGAACAAGTCCCGAAATCGGCACCACACCCATGTGGCTACGAGGTCGGCACCTTGTTCGAAGTCTCGCAAGGGCGGCTCCTGATAGAAGTACGACGTCGAATACAATAAAATAATGCCACTTGTCTACGAATGATTGCCGATGGGACGTCCAACTCAACCAGAACGTGTCCGCATTTAATGCAGCCCACGTTCACATTAAATGCATGACAGGTAATGATTGGAGAATCCGGAAATCACTCCCAATCAGTCAGAGAAGCGCCGGCTTGTCCCATTGAGCTACTGTACGACAAGATCGTTGAACAGTACCCAAACAGTGCCGCATTAAAGTCCCCTATAAATAGCAACCCCCTCATTTATTTTTGGGTTGTTGAAACTCAACTACTCGAGCTCATATTTTCTCTCTCTAAAAGACTTGTAAGAAACTCTTGTAAGCAATATAAGTATATCACAAGTGCCGACCTCGTACGAGAGGCCGACCTCGTGACCCGTTAATAAAACCGTGATTAAACCGTATTTCTTCGTCTTTTTCTCATCATTCTTTCTATTACTTGACTTTTTAACCGTTGACCAGAAACGTCCGTCAACACCGAGCATATGCGACGCCATGCGATTCATCTTGAAGACCGATGGTAATCGTCTCGTGGCCTCACAGAGCGTGGATGTCAATGATGAATTTTGGAAATCCATTCCTCATGATGGAGGAAGCGACGTGAACAAGGGCATTATTGTCGAGATGGGAGGCTTTCGGCTTATGTATCTTGTTGTGGATTCTTACGAGAGATCGCTTGTTTCGGGCCTCGTTAGTCCGGACGAGATTGGCGTCGAGTTTTACGATGTTGGTGCTCTTGACGTGCCGAAGGTTTTGGAAGATTTGGTAAGTTATCGGTTGCATTAGCCCGAGCTTTTCTCCCACATGAATTTGTTGTGTGGTGGTTCTGTGGACTTTTCTTTAAACCAGCTACTGTTAAAGAAAGTTATATCTGTTAAACGAAACGAGTTGTTCGCGAGTTCGATTTGGGTTCGACTTGTGGAGGAGCTCGAGTCTATTTAAAGGTCATTAACTCGACATGGCTCGTTAAAACTCGTCTCGATCGACAATTAGATTAACTTTTTATGTAATTTTATATAGTTCAACTCTACATATTGATAAAACGAGTCGAGTTCGAGTTTGTTTTGTTTAGTTATATTCGATAAAGACTCAAACCTGACGACGAGTATGAAGTTTTGAGTTCGGCTCAACTCGTTTACACTTTTAGGTAGAATTAAAGTTTACACATAATTCTTAAACATAAATGTGTATTTTTTAAGTTAGAAAATTCTTACTCTAAACAATATACTCCCTCCTTTTTTAATAAATATCGTTTTGAGATAATTAAGAATATTTTGTTTGCAATAATAATCTTCATTAATGAGGATAGAGATTGATGTTTCGAGAAAAGATTGAGAGTTAATATGAAAAGACGTAGTGTATTTATTAATTAGATGAGGGTAATAATTGAAAAATATGTACAAAACAGCTAAAACGATATTTATTTAACAAATGATCAATTAAGTTAGAATGACAAATAATAAAAATAAGAGGGAGTAATAAATAAATTATAACATTTTATAGTATAAATATATTTTGTAAAAGCACCCTAACTAGTGGATTTTTTTAATCAAAATTGTCCGCAACTTTCGTCATTGATTAGTCATTTAAATTGATCGAGAGTTGAAACTATGAAGATACACCCACCATAAGAAATACATATAATGTGAATAATAGTCTATACATATTGTTTTATAAAATAACGAACTTTAAAATCAAGTGTTCAAACTAAAAATAATAAAGTCAATCTCTAGTATCTAACTATGTGGATATTGATGGTTACTTGTGTGGTAATTAAGAATTTAGGGTAACCGATGTTTTTGAATGGTTCATCTCCCCCAGATAACTAACTACAGAATATCCCATTTTTTTTATTTTATTGTACAATTGCAGCTTGGGAATTTAATTAATAGAAATATTAACATAAATGTTGAAACAGAGTAATTATATTTTAACTTTTGTCATTACACAAGCACAATACATGTCATTCTTGGCTCAAGCATCCAATCACAACAAACCCCAAATATTAAAACAATCTTTCATGTCATTAAGGTCAAACTTGAAAGATAACATTTAATTATTAGTCCTCCCTTATTTTTATAAAACTATATAAGAGCATCTCCAACCGTATGTGAATTGTGGAATTGTAGAAGCCATATGATAAAAGAACTTCTCCAACAACGATTTTTCCACTTCTATCTGTGATTATGTGGCATGAAAGAGAAACAATAATTCTAGAAGTCCTTCTAGACTTATGACTTATTTTTTCACCTTATTTATAATATAAAAAAAATGGATAACATGAAAATAGAATAAATCATTGGAGATGCTTTATGGGGTTGAACCTCTATTTGTTTCACGTGGATGGAAGATCATCTATTTCAATGCCACATATATTACAATTCATGTATACGGTTGAAGATGCTCTAAGCGAGCGCGCACACACGAAAAAACACACACACACACACACAATTTTGGAAGATTATTTGGGCAGTTTCATGTCATTAAGTCAATCTTCAACGATAACCTTTGTAGTTATCCACTGATTTTATTCTTAGACTTTATACAATTAAGCGCTAGTTGTCGCTTATGACAATGACTAAGACACAAGTAAATGTTTTTTCAATCTAAATAATTATGATTTTATAGAAGCCGAAAGTTAATTTTAAAAATTTGTATTGATCAACTAATGCATAATTTTCTATGATTCCTTATGTGAGGATGAACTATATTGTTAATATAGATAAACCCTATTTATTTGGTTTACACTATCTGAATATATGTTATATAATACAATTAAACCTTCTAAGTCGTGAATTAAGTGTTTCAATTTTAAAATGGCCGTGACAGCTTAACTGCAGCTTCTCTCAATAATGAGACGTGTATATTTTATAATTATGAATCCAAGTCTTCAAAGCATTAAAAAGAGACGATTTTATCTGACTTGAACAAGAAATTATTCATCGGACAATGAGGTTCTACCTAATGATAAATGATTGTATTCACTTAGCTAAAATAGCCTTTTCGCGTTTTTTTCTCGTTCTTTTTTATTTTTTTCACCCCTTAAACCCTTTAGTCCATATGTACATATAATTTAAACTTTAAGAAATATTATTATTTTGTTTTACTCTTCCCACTCATATGTATATACATTTATATGCAAAAAAAGTGTTATATAATAAAGTCAATCTCTAGTATGTATATATATATATAAATCTCCCTTTCCATGTATTGATTTGATTATTTACACTAAAAATAATATCACATTCCAATAAAAAATCCAACAATAATATATTCTATTAAAAATTTCAACAGCTATTTTAATAGTATAACTTCTGTTGGAATAATTTCAACGGAAATATTCCGTCGAAATGGGTTTTCCATTGAAATTTTAGTTGAAATTTGATGATTCCAATGACTATTTTTCCAAAACGGTTTATTATCGTAAGAATTTTCGTTGGAATATGCAATTTCCGTTAAAATTTTTGTTTCCACCCATAATTCAACCGTTATAAAATATGTCGTTGGAATAGTCAAGATCCAATGGGAATTTCAATAAAAAAACACATTCCAACAGAATATTTTCGTTAGAATCAATTAAAAAATTCTAACATAAATAATTACATTGAAATTTCTGTTGGAATCGCCATTGGGATATCACTACAAGAAAATGATGAAATTTCAATGAAAATATATTCCAATAGAATTTCAATGGCAATTCCAATGGATATTTCAATGCTATTATTTCTGTTAGAATAGTTCAATTCCAACAAAAATATTCCGTTGGAATGAGTTTTTCATTGGAATTTCCGTTGTATTTTGACGATTCCAACAGTAGATTTTCCAACGGTGGTAAAAATAAAATTTCCAATGGAAATTGCATATTCCAACGGGAGTTCCTACGGTGAAAAGCCGTTGGAAATATTGCCGTTGGAATCATCAAATTCCATCTAAAATTTCAATGAAAAATTCATTCCAATGGAATATTTTCGTTGGAATTTCCATTGGAATCATTCCAACGGAATCTATACCATTGGAATATCCGTTGGAATTTCTATTGGAATATATTATCATAGGATTTTCCGTTGGAATATAACAATTTTTTTGTAGTGTATATTTCCGTTGAAATTTTTAATTGAAATTTCTTTTTTTTAGTGTTACAAAAAGAAAAAAGTGTTCATAGATAGTATAAAATTATGATAAGTACACTATAGAAAGTGACAAAATTAGGATCTTGAATTGATAGATTGAGTAGGGTTTAATTCGGCGTATCACATAATGATCAAATTATGACACCTTGTTCTATACGATATGGATCTAAATGATCATGATTAGTATAAACAATTAAATAAATATTAATTGAATTGAATGTGACAATATATCTATATTTGAAAACAATATAAATGAGTCATATATCTATATATTGGTTTATTATACATTCTAAGGTCACATCATATAAATATAAATATATATATTCTCACAATCCTATTTGTGTCTATTGATTTAAAAATACCAGAGGTTGTGGGTTCGAACCCAACTATCGTGGGGTGTATGGATGGGGTACTATGCACTTCCTGGGTGGATTAGTCCCGCCCTTAGGTTGCGGATTGCGTAGCCCGTTTGGGCCGTGTGAATTGCGGCTTGGGAGTTCGTGGTTGAGGCACCTGATTGAATGTGGGGATACAACCC